TTATTACAATTTTATCCCTAAGTGAAATTACTATTTTAGACACCATTGTTAATTGAAAACATCTCAATGCACACCTCAGAGTTCACATCTGTTGCATCGTGTGTGTAGCTTGTGGATGCTCATTCATAGCTTCTTCCAGGGAGTGTGTGTAATCATTCATAGCTTCTATCTGTTGTATCTGTTGCATTGTGTGTGTAGCTAGTGACACCATTGGTTTCACTTCTTCTATCAATTTGTGAATGACGAAGGTTGTCCAAATTGGTTTCACTTCTTCTATCAATTTCTGTATATGATGTTCATTGAGGTAGAAGTGAAACCAAAGGGCTTTGGCATTTCCAAGTTCATCAACCTTCGTCATTCGTAGGGAAAACATCATTGTTATAGAGGATTTGCCTTCTGAAAATCAGCAAATAAGTGTTCATGTGAAGCAGAGCGAAGGAAATGTGAGTTTAATTTTTTTTTTTTTCCTAGCGTCGTTCGGATAACCAGAGCCGAATTGTGTTATTTGGTTCGGAAATCTACTACCGAAATAATTATGAATTTTTGGAAGTTGATGTCCGAACAAAGTAATAAATTTCAGAAGTTGTCATCCGAACAACGTATTTAAATTCGGAAGTTGTTGTCCGAACAAAGTTAACTTTTACAACATTCAACTTCCGAAATTTTAAAAAAAATTCGGACAACTACTTCCAAATGAAGTAAATTTTTTTTTTCCATTTTATATTCCAAATTTGCAAACTACATACCAAATTTACAGTTTCAAATTGCAAATTAATCTTTATAATGCCATTGAAAATTTTTAATGTTATACAAAACATGCAGGAATATGTGTCAACTCAAGGAAGTCAGGTTTGCGTGGATTTTGTGTTAGATTACACCACTCAATTCACAACTGAACAGGTTCAGTCTACGAAATTATAACGATTATGTTTCGAATTGCTCACCAAATGTAAATGTTTGATAATATTTATTTAACTTTGTAGGTATTCAAAAGTAAGGATGAATTGCTCAACTGGGTACGTGAAGTTGGAAAAAGAAATGGTTTGGTCATTGTAATCAAAACATCAGACTATGGTGGAGGGAAAAAAAGACCCAGGATGTATCTTGCTTGTGAGAGGAGTGGCCAATATAGAGCAACAAAGAAGTTAAAACATGATGGCAACAATACATCAAGAATAACCGGTACGAAGAAGTGTGGTTGTCCTTTTGATATGAGGGCTCACAGGTTTACCACACATGATGAATGGACATTGACCGTAGTATGCGAATTGCATAATCATCCACCTGCGGAGCACCTCGAGGGACATTCATATGCGGGGAGGCTATCAAAGGATGAGAAAGCATTGTTAATGGATATGTCAAAGAGCATGGTTTGGCCAAAAGAAATCCTAGTAACCTTGAAACAGCGAGATGCCCTCAATGTAAGCACACTTAAAACCATTTACAATGTACGCCATCGAAACAGGGTGGTATAGAGAGTTGGAAGATCACAGATGCAACACTTATTGGGTGAATTGTCCAAGTATAATTACATTGAGCGCCATCGGTCTGAAGAGTCCACGATGACTGTGACAAACTTGTTTTGGGCACATCTTACCAGTTTGGACTTATTTCGGTCTTTCCCACGTATATTAATTATGGATTGCACATATAAAACCAACAGATATCGGCTTCCTCTTCTTGAAATTGTGGGAATGACATCAACTGAAATGACATTCTCTGTAGCTTTTGCATACTTACAGTATGAGAGGGTCGATAACTATGCGTGGATGTTAGCTACATTGCGTGATGTCATGGATGGGTTTGTTGTGCCAACAGTTATTATTACTGACAGAGAGCTAGCCTTGATGAATGCCATACAGAAGATATTCCCGAGTACCAGACATTTATTATGTCATTGGCATATCAGTAAGAATGTGTTGACCAAATGCAAGAAAATGTTTGAGACACAGCAAAAATAGGAGAAGTTCAACCATGAGTGGAACTCTGTAGTGTATTCATCTTCTGAAATTCAATACGAGAAGCGTCTTAAATCATTACTTAAGGAATTCAGTAGTTATCCTGATGCAGTCAAATACGTCATGGATACTTGGTTGGTTCCTTACAAGGACAAATTTGTGGCGGCATGGACAGACACGTGTCTGCATTGTGGCAAAGTTACAACGAACCGGTAAGATTACTTTTCTTCAATATGTTATTAATAAGTGCCATGTACTTGATTTTAACTTTGACTTACATTGAATTGAACAGGGCTGAGAGTGCACATGCAAAACTTAAAAGACAATTGGGTTCATGTCAAGTCTCATTTCAGGCTTCATTTGAGAAAATACACAGTCTGCTTGAGTTGCAACACACTGATATCAAGGCATCATTTGAGAAAAGTCTAACTGTTGCGCAACATCAATTTAAACCGTCTCAATTCAGGGAGCTACGGGGTAATGTGTTTATCTCTGCATTGGAGTATTTGCTTGTCGAGAGTAAGAGAGCCAATTCCATTGGTATTGATGTTGAAGCTTGTGGATGCATCCTTCGCCACACTCATGGTTTGCCTTGCGCCCATGAGATTGCTGACTACATCAGACAAGATTGTCCTATACCACTTGCTACCATACACTCACAGTGGAGGCAACTTCATATCTCCATATGCAAGAAAGAAGAGGAAATGAAGGTGACTTTTCATGCAGAAGTAGAGTTGTTTGTGAACAAGTTTAATGAAAGTGATAGAACCATGCGGTTGAAGCTTTTGAAGAAGTTGAAAGAGATTGTATATCCGGGAAGCACTTTTCTTGTTGAGCCGGAGGTGAAGCCCAAAGCACATCCTCGGGATCATAAGAAGATCAATGTTTCTACCTGTCATGACCCGTGTGCATTTGAGTTAGTGCAATCTGGACATGATTCCTTCTCACCTAAGGACACCAAATCACTACATTAGCTTCTACTCTGCAAACCAAGAAGAAGCGACCTGTTAAAGGAAAGGAGAAGGTGCATCCGAAAGGGAAGGCATACATTACTAGAACAGTGAAACCTGGTGCATATGTTGATGCTTTCCCTGCTGGGTTGAAACCATACATTAGCTGCAAATGGGAATTGTGGTTTCAGGGCTATAGCTGCTTCAATTGGTTATACAGAAGATGATTGGGCTCAAGTTAGGCGTGACCTATTGGGTGAGCTGCACACACACAAAGAGGAATACATTACACTTTATGGATCCTATGAAAGGTTTGAAGAATTGACAAGCATATTGTCATACTTTGAAGATAGCCCTGGATACTCACATTGGATGACTATGCCAGACATGGGGCATCTTGTTGCATCGTGCTGCAATCTTGTGTTATACCACTTGTCTTTACAACAATGTCTCACCTTTTTACCTCTTAGAACAGTGCCAGTACCTTAACTTGATAGACGTGAGATTGCCATTGGGTTTGTCAACGGAAATCATTTCGTCCAGGTATAACAAAAACTTATCAATTGGGTTTGTGCATGTACAAGAAGTTATGAGGTATGACCACTAAGTCAATTGATATTTGGTGCAGGTTTTGTTGCAGCCAGGCCATCCAATTCCTCCTATTGCCACTAATTGGAGAAAATACCGTCACCCTTGCGCTGTCGACTGGGATGATGCATATGTGTGTCGCATTCAACATTTCAAGGACATTATTCATGATAATGTAACTACTCGAGAGACTTTTGATGTTGTTGATGTCGCATGACACATGTATGCATTTGGCAATGTTAAAATTATGGAAGAAATTAATGGATGTGTTTTTGATATTGATGTGTTATGTTTTGCAATGTGGATTGAATGTTATCGACCATTGTTACCATTCCATTGTAATAAGAAAATATCATTTAGAAAATCAACGACCATTGTTACCATTCCATTCTAATAATAAAATATCATTACAATGTCATACAATACCATTGTTGCCATTCCATTCTAATAAGAAAATATTAACCACTGTTACCATTACAACAATGTCATCTTACAAAAAATACCAAAAAATATTCATCAACTAACAAAATAACATGTAACAAAATAACATGTCACGAATCAGCTGTATGTCTACGCCTAGGCCTACGATTGTATGTCAATGTCAAAAATGGAAAACAACCTCCAGCAGAACTAGGTCCAACTTCGTTAATGTGCTGACCTTCAAGAACATGTGTCATACTCTCGATAGCCTGGTAAAGTCGATAAGGATGGCGAATCCCCTCCTGATAACCAGCGTCAATAATAGGATGTGAAATTTGCAGTGCAAGTGCAATACGCTGCATTTGAAAAGAATATCGCATTTTAGGGAACATATCAGAAAAAAAAAAGTAAGTTACATATGCATAAGAGGGGATAATAGATTACATCCGCATGTTCGCTGAAATCCTGATGGTCATGGACACGTGGTTCATTAGTGTGCTCGACATATAGGTGTGTGATATTCTTATACCAATCCATGTAACCCAGTACACATTGCCAAGGCTGACGAACTGGTGTGCTCCTCCGTTGCTCAGATAACACGTGGTTATCCCAAGCCTCCCAGATCCTATCCAAGTATCTGTACATGACTGTATATCGTGCAGATATGTTGCCTCGCGCACCACGACTGGGAGCTAGCAGTGCATCTGGGATGGTATGAACCCTGCCAAACTGCCTCAAAAGTCTATCTGGATGATAGGGTTCGACAACATCTAAGCACTTTAAGCATCCATGGTAGAACGTAACCGGGTTACATGGATGCCGGTCTCTGCAGCTGTGGTATGGATCCCAAATAACCTGTAAACGTAAAGTGTTTTTGCATTAAAGTACATAAAGGGTAAGATAAATGGAAGTGTTAAAATTATCGCAGGATGAGTAAACTTACATCAATAGCTACTAAACTGTCAAGCTCGGCTCGAAAAGATTTCAAATGGTCAATGGAGGAACCCGCCTCTCTCCTAGATGCCCAATGGTACACGTGTGGCATGTCTTCATTGTAGCCCATGTTCTGATGAGATCAGAATGCTCAGAAGTGCTCATAAATCCACGCCTCCAAAAGAGTCATATAACCACCCATCTGCTTAATCCCAGACCGGCTAACAAACCCCAATTGTCTATATAAAAATGCTAATACAGCAGCACCCCAGGCATAAGTATGTATGGATCCCAAATCCATCAACAAGCCGAGGTAAACAACGGGAACCCTGCCGCCACTCTTGTCACTGAAGAGTGTACATCCCAACAGAAACAACAAATAAGCTCTTGCAGCGCACTGTATAGCCTCATCGGGGTCTGAATCTGTGACACCAGCAAACTGACTTTGCAACCATTCAAGCCTGACTGAATTGCCACCAGCAGAAGAAACCTCTTCATGTGCTGCACGTTCAGTAATCCCCAAGCCATAAACGAGTAATGTAACTCCATGATGATCTGTCACATCTGGTATGCTGACTGATTTGCCTACAATGGGAAGGCCAAGAATAATGCCAACATCATCCAGGGTCAAGGTCATCTCACCAATTGTCATGTGAAATGTGTTCGTCTCAGGTTGCCATCTCTCAACAAAACTGGAGATTAGAAGCTTGTTGACGAACCGATAAATGCAACGAGCTAACTGTGACAGTCCAGACTGCTCAATAATGGCTTTGAATCTGGTGTTGTTCTCTACTAACCACCATGGCCATGCAAGGATCTTGGAAGAGTGATTATGACACTTTAGGGGCCCTCGTTCCCACAACACAAATGATATCTCATTACAAACTACCATACAATACACACACACACAAAAAAAAAAAAACTCATATACAAATGAATTTCAGTTTTACTGAGGAATGTTTACCTCCCCGTGCCAAATAGCTGCAGCCACATGACTATTGAAACTCCGCAGTATTGACGGATCAGTCGGTCCACCTGGAAAAGCATGAGTAAGGTACTCTTCCTGGACAGGAGGAGAATCAGGTAAAGAGGTATCCTCCACAACAATGTCAGGCATATCATAACCTTCAACTCGTCTTTGGCTTCGGCCCCCACTTTGACTGGCACTGGGAATATCATATTCTACCGAAACTGGATCACGACCTCGACCACGACCTTGACCTCGTCCTCGCCCACACCATCGTCCCCGTTCATGGTCTACATCCAATTCACGACGTCATCTATTTGAAGCAGTAAGTGGGACACGTTGTTGACATTCAGAATCCATATTATCTGCAAAAAATACTAAGTGTGTGTGTAAATAAACAGAATGTGTGTAAATAAACAGAGTGTGTGTAAAATTAATGAGAGTGTTTTAAATTATAAGTGTGTGTGTAATGAGTGTGTGTGTAAAATTAATGAGAATGTGTGTAATGAGTGTGTGTAAATAATAAGTGTTTTAAATTATAATGAGAGAGTGTGTGTAAAATTAATGAGAGTGTGTGTAATGAGTGTGTGTGTGTGTAAATAATAAGTGTTTTAAATTATAATAAGTGTTATAATTAAGTGTTTTAATTAAGAAGGGAAAAAAAAAAAAAACTTGTTCGGAAGTTCACAACCGAAAATACCTATTCTGTTCGGAAGTTGTTGTTCGAAACAAAAACATAATTTCGGAGGCTGACTGTTGTCCAAATTCAATTTTTTCGGAAGTTGACTATCGAATGAATGTAAAAATTTCGGAAATCTACTGATGAAAATATTGAATTTTTTCGGATTCCTACGTCCGAATACATTGTTATGTTTCGGATAACTAGTTCCGAACGACGGTTCCAAATCACAAACTCTACATTCCAACTGAAAAACTCTACATTACAGCTGAAAATGAGGATTGAATAGGAATGATGATTCAAAAGTAAACTCACCTAATGAGGATTGAAAATCTGATGGAATGCTTCAATGGGATGCAGCTTCGTGGATGAAATGCTTCAATATATTTGCACACCTGGGTTGCACGCGGTAAGGAGATGGAATGCTTCAATGTGTTTGCAGATGTGCTTCAATGCTTCAATAGGTGCTTCAGCGGTGATGGAATGCTTCAAGGTTGAAGATGTGCTTTAGATTCAATAGGTGTGTGTATTTGGGGTCGGGTGTGTGTGTGCGTGTGTGTGTGTGTGTATGAGGGCACATTTGGAACTCACCGTGTGTGTAGTGAGGAAATTAATTAGGAATTAATTTTTTTGGTGTGTGTTTTGAGAAGGATGTGCAAAGAGGGGATTAGGTGTGTGTATATAGAAGCTCCCTAAACTATTTTGTCCATAATGACAAACTACGTCAAAATGACCAAACTAACCCCATATATATATGGTATACACGGTCAAAGACCAAACCAACTCTCTCTCTC